ATACAAAAAAAAATCAAAAATCTACAAAAAAAAATACATATTCAGCAATCTACAAAAAATTCCAACTGATTATTTCATTTGATTTTTGTGTTGGATGCACATGTGAATGAATCTTCGTATTTATTGTATTTCGATTTCTGGGTTATATACACGAGTGCATGAATCATCGTATTCATTGTCTTTTAATTTATGGGTTGTATGCACGTATGAATGAGTCTTCATATACAACATCCTTCAATTTTTGGCTTGAATACACATGTGAATGAATCATCAAATTCTCATTTTTTTATAAATTTTTGTATTGTATGCACATGTTAATAAATCATATAATTCAATGTTCTTCAATATTTTGGGCTGAATGCATATGTAAATGAGACACCATATTCAATGTCTTTCAGTTTTTAGGCTGCATAAGCATGTGAATCTTGATTTCATCATATTCATGTATGGATAAACCCATAAAACAAGAGTAAAATAGATGAATGTTTGAATCTTGTTACCTATTCACACGTGCATAATCTTCCAGGCCACCGATGTTTCTTATCACCACAATGAAAAAACTAAAAATGACTTGAAATCATATTGAAGCATAAATGATTCTATAAAGAGGAGGAGAGGAAATGTCATGGAAGTTATAGGTTGAAGGAATCAATGGAGAATGAGAGAAAAGGGGTTGGGGGTTTTTTGGGGGAGAGGGTTTATTTCCTTAATTATTGGGGATTAAAATAAATTTAAAATTAATTATATATATATATATATATTTATTTATTTTTTTTGAATTATACCCTCAAATCTACATAAAGTTTACTTAAATAACCTTATCTTTCCTTTTATTTAAAAATATGTTTTTTTTTTTTTTATTTAGACCTTTGATTTTTTTATTTAACAATTGTTGAGTTCAACTTTAATTTTTCATTTTTTTTTAAAAGTTTTTTCCTGGACCTTTTGACATTTTATATATAACAAATGGAGATATTGCATTTGAAATATAATATATATATATATATATATATATATATAGAGAGAGAGAGAGAGAGAGAGAGATTGATTGATTATTATACAATTTTTTATATTTGTACAACCAATACAACCCAATCTCAACCGTCCATTTAATTTGATGAATATATGATTTCATATAAGTTTTGATTGTTTCCTAATATAAGGTATTGATCATAATTAATGAACTCTATTCATCTTTCATAAATATTCAAATCATAATAAATGAACTCTTATCATTTTCATAAATATCTCAATTTATTGGGTTGCAATGGTTGTACAAATGTAATGAGTTGTATTTGAAACAAACTCTCTCTCTCTCTCTCTCTATATATATATATAGAGAGAGAGAGAGAGAGAGTGAGATGACGTTTCAAATACAACTCATCACATTTATACAACCAATGC